GCTCCCATGCCAAACTGACACGAAACACACCCGGCTTTCATTAGATTTACTGTGGAACAGCTATTCTTGTAGAAAACAGAGCAGCCGGGCTCAGAAAGAGTCTGCTTTGTGCCGTTGGTACTTAATGTATGACTCTTTGGGATCCATCCAACCTTTGAATGAAAGGAAAGCAAATGTGGATCCCAGATTCAGTTGTTTTTACAATGAATTTCCTTCCCCCTTTGGAGAAGGGAGCTGTTGCCAATTTTTTCCCGACAGCAGGACAACTGAAAAGGCCCCTTTTAAGAGGGTCATAAATATAGAGTCGGAGGAGCATTGGAGACCCCTAGTCCAATCCCCTCATTTTAAAGTAAAAGAAACTGAGGCCCAGGGAAGTACAGAGACTTCCCTACACTTAGGTAGTGAGTGGCACAGCCGGGATTCAAATCTAGGCCCTCTGGTTCCGTACAAGAAGTCAAGAACATTTGTATTCAGATCCCACCTTACCTGAATTCTCACGTCCCACTTTGCAAACTCTGTGACCTTCAGCAAGCCCTTCCCCCACCCTGGGCCTCAGTGTCCTTATCTGCAAAGTGGGAGGGTCTGAATTGCTGGCTCCTAAGCTCCCTTCTTGTGCTAAGTCTGTGGTCCTGTGACCCTGTGACTCTAAATCTCATGGTTTTTTACACAGTTCCAAGCTTCCTTCAGAAGCTCTGGCCGGTCAAAGAATGGTCCTTCGTAGACCTTGGCTTGGAAAGGAGCAATCTAAGTGACCCCTTGTTTCTGCCTTTTGAGAGATTGCTTCCCTTAGGACTCCCCCAGCAGAGATCAAAGACTTAGAGAAACTGATAGAAAAGATCAGGAAAGGCCCTGAGAGGCCTCCAGACCCTGGAGTTATCTTGTTTCTTATTGTCCTATTAGATGTCACCTAAGGTATGTTTGCTAGGAGCTCTTTACAGAGCCTTCAGCATGTGTGTCCCCAGCATGGTTGGGGGTGGGGTGGGGGCAGAGATCTAACAAGCCAAACAAACAAAGATCCTCCAGGAAACAAAGCCCTTCCGCTGGCTTGGCTGAGGAGGGTTCACGCCTGGGCTTTTTCCCATTCAAGTCCTCTAGGGGGTCAATCCCCACCAGCAAGTGGCCCTGCCTCAGAGATTGGGACCAGGGAAGGAACCGTCCCCTCAATGAGACTCTTTCCCAGGGCCCTTCAAGGAAGAGAAATGAGAATTCATCCCTAAAATAACCAGAGTAACAGGAACTACAGTCAGCATCAGCATACAATGGGCAAGCAACAAGCCTCTTGGATTTTTCAAAAACAAAACTACCCTAAGAGTTCATGAAACTGGGTCTGGAGTTCAGCCCAAGTGAGACCCCTCCCCCATTTCTAGGTCATTGTCAGAAACTTTGAGAGAGGCAAAAAAAAGAAAGTAAATCCCAAGGAGAGTAATGCCCTGAGCTCTCACCCAGATCAGTCCTAGGGAAAGAAAGAGAAGATCCAGACCTGGACTGAGAGAACACAGGGGGCAGATGCGGATCATCCCTAGCCCACCCCGTGGGTGGGAGGAGGCATGGGGCAGGAATGCAGGGGATTTGGAGCAGAAAGGGGCATCACTTATCAGCTAATCGGGCCTTCTCAACAGCCAAGGAAACAAGTCCAGAGAGGTGTGGGACGTAGGAATACAGGTGATATTATACACAGTATAATGGACATGGTCACAGCTCTGGCATTGAGAAGACCTGGTCTCACAGTCCAGCTCTTTTGTTTATGGCCTGTGTGATGTTGAACAAGTCATCATGCCTGGGCCTCAGTTTCCTCATCTGTAAAACGAGGCAGTTGGATTAGGTGACCTCTAGCTAAATCCATGATCCTAGGGTGTAAGCTGTTCCCCGTTCCCAGGCCTCAGTTTCCAACAAGGAGGTAAAAGATCTGCCTGATTCTAAATGCAAGCTGTCAAATATTCATTTAATTACATTAATTCAACCTTAGCTCCAAAGCATTCTTCCAAATGTCCTCCTAATACATGCCTCTCCTCTCTGAGGACACGGTATTCCTTATCGTGTTCGTCCAATTCTAACGAGTGACCATCTTTCAAAGTAATAAACATCCTACTCATATTTAATACATATATCTTTATTTTAAATTCAAGCAAATGGAGAGCAGGTGGCTAAATGATTTGTCACAGATCTCCTTGTACTGGGTTGAGCTTTGGATCTCAAGTCAGGAGACCTGGGTTCAAATCTAAGCTGTCATTTACTGCCTGTGTGCCCATTGCCAAGTCACTGATGCTCCCGGGGTCTCTCTTTCCTCATCTGTAAAATGGGGGCCTCTAAGGTCCCTTCCAGCTTTGAATCTATGATCTTATGTCCTCATGCTTCAATCCTAATCCACAGACAACCTATGATTGTGCAAAAGCACTCATCTTTCCTCCAAGAGTTAAATATTAGGGCAAATGCTCCCTTGCTCCCTTCCACCCCCCCCCCCCCCCCCCCCCCCCCCCCCCCCCCCCCCATCAATCGGAAAAACATTTTCTGTATTAAGAACGGAGAAAGGTCTGTATCTGGAGCCAGAGGACCTGGCTGCAGCCCCAGCTCTGCTCTTTATGAGCTGTTTAATGTTTGGTAAATCCCTCCCCCACCCCTACCCCCACCCTCAGAATGAAGGTGTTGGACCAGTTGATCTCTAAGCCCAGCCCAGCTCAGCTCCAAGTCTGATGATCTCATGTCTAGTGGCCTTAGCAAAAGCTCCTTGGGTAGAACCTAAATTTGTTGCCACATGGATTGGGTTCGAGAGCTTTTTTTTTTAATCCAATGAACAAAACTCAGATCCCTGTGTGTTCCCAGGGCTGACCATCACGCCAAAAATGAGCTCCTGGTCTGGGTCAAAATAAAGCAACATAATCCAAGGACCAGGCAGAAACAAATGGAGCACGTCTGAGAGCAGAGTGAGGTCTCCCGTCCCCCCCAGCTCACTCTTCTCCAGCCATGCCACCCCGTCGGTTAAGTGAGATTTAACAAGGAGAACTTGAACTTTGAATTGGCGTCGATCATTCTCTCTCCAGACACTCATAGACGGTGTGGGCCGATGAGCGGCCAGTCCTCAAATCCCACCTGCACAGCATCTACACCACGTTAGTAGCCATTGAAGATTTGTTCCTAACTCCAGTTCTTTTCTCAGCCCTTGCTTTTCTCCTGCATACAGAACACAGCAGGGGAGACAGACACCTAGCCCCATACCCGGGGGCTTTGCCCATCACCCCTGTGAGGCACTGCCTTCTGGCACCTCAGTTCAGGCCTTCCATTTGTTTCAGGCAGACAGAAAAAAAACTGGTATCACAGCTCCCACTCCACTTGATTGTGTGTAATGAGGGAGACTGCAGCAGAGATGGCGTCTTTGCCACGGTTTCACACAAAGCCCTAAGTTGCTAGAAAAAGAGAAAGAGAGAGAGAAATGTCTGTCTCTTGGCACTTTGAAGAGAATATCCCATGTGTGGTCATTATTTTTACCAGAGCTATAAATCACCAAGCGACATTTAGCCAAGGACCGCCATTAAGCCCCATCTATGTCCGGAGGCGCCCACACAGTCCCTCCAGCAGGGTTCAAGTCAGCAAAGAAAAGCCTGGTTGCGCAGGGAATATAAAGTCTTGGATCTCTTTATGCTGAAGAAGGCAGTGTTTCTGTGAGTGAACAAACCTGAATAAACTTGAGAGCTGGAGGAGAATGTAATTAATATGGGGGGGGGGAGGAAGCCTCAATGTCCCATTCATCCCCAGCTGGAAACGCCTGTTCCAGGGGCTATGAGGTTGGGACTCCTCTGAGCAGGATTTCTAAACCTTTAATGATACTTGCAGGAGAGAGGAAGTGTGGAGGTGTGAGAGAAAGCATCCCTGTGTGGCATTGCTGCCCTTCCTGTCCACAGTGGTCCGTAGAGGTCCTGGACAGGATTGTGAATTAAGGTGCATGGCCAAGCCAGGTGGTCTCTGAGTGTGGAAGCTGCTTCTAAGAGGTAGCAGGGTTCAGTGGTGAGACTGCCATACTTGGGGGCGAAGATTCCACTTTAAACACCAGCTGTGCTGCTTGCTGCCCAGATGACCTTCAGTAAGTCATCTGACTTCTCTATCAGATCATAGGATGACAGAATATGAACTGGACGGGACCTCGGATATATTCAAGTCTAACCCGTTCATTTTAAAGATGAGGAAACTGAGGCCCAGAATGGGTGGATAAGTGACCTCTCTAGGGTCATACAGCCAGGACCTGTCTGAGGAGAGGATTTGAACCCAGCTCATCCTGACTGCAAGGCTAGCACTCTCTCCTCTCCACCTTTCGGGGGTTTGACCTAGATGGCTTTGAAGAACCCTCTCAGCTGCGCATCTCTGGAGCTGGTGCCTGGTCCCCTAAATCTCCAGTTCTCCCTGGGCCTCCATCCTCCCAGAAAAAATGAAAGAGTTGATCAAGATGCTAGCTCTGGATATTTGATCCTATGAGTCTGAATCACAAAACCTCCCTGAACCTCAGTCTCTTCCTCTGTAAAATCTGGGTTTGAGGTGGATGACCTTGAAAGTCCCTCCCTAGGGGGCAACTAGGTGGTGCAGTGGATAGAGCACTGGCCCTGAAGTCAGGAGGACCTGAGTTCAAATCCAGCCTCAGACTAAACAGTTGATACTTACTAGCTGTGTGACCCTAGGCAAGTCACTTAACCCCAATTGTCTAAAAAAAAAAATCCCCCCCTTCCAGGTTAAGGTCTGTGAGCCCATGACATCCTTCTTGCCATACTCTAAACAAGTCAATGGGTCAAAAAGCAGTTATCAACTTCTCCCTGTGTACTGAGTCCTGGCCAAATCACTGGGGCTTTTAACATCGGACAACTGGCTCAGAGACACTGTCCCAGAAAGTCCCACACAGCCTAGAATGGGGTGCTCCCACATTCCCTTCTTCACGTAGCAGCAAATGTGTGTCTAAGAAGGGAAGACAAGGAAACAAACAAATGCTTCCAGGGAATTTATTGCTTTCTTCCTTTTAGGTGGCTCGGCTGCTACAACCGTCAGTGGTCTGGATTGGAGAAACCGAAAAAACCTTCTACAAAAAAATTCCGAAGGTTGAAAAGGAGGTGATGGCCTGCCCCTGGTTACTTTCTCTATCTTGCATCTTTCCCCAACCCCCAACGAGGGCTTCTCAAGTATTGTGTGCACCTCTGATCTCCTTTTCTGTCAGGGTCTGGAGTAGGGGTGGAATCTGGGGGTGGCAGCATCTCAGGAGGAGGCCTCGCTGGGTTTGAGACAAGTCACAGAAAACTGGGGTGGTGGGAGAGCAGCCTGAGACTGATATCGTGGAAGGAATCCTGCATGTAGAGTCAGAGGACCTGGGTTGAAGCCTCAGTCACTGTATGCCCTTGGGTGAGTCTCTTCTCTCTGGCTTCTGCTTCCTCCTCTGCCAAATGAAAGGGTTGGACTAGAGCTGATAATAGCTAGCATTTACATCTTGCTTTAAGGTTTGCAAGGTGCTCAACAAAGGCACCTCATTGGATGACGTCTAAGACCCCTTCTAGCCCCAAACCCATGGCTGTGTGATCTAAAGAACCCAGCAATAACCCGGGTTGGGGGTGATGAAGCCCAGGGGAAAGGGGTGACCGAGTGGGAGCTGAAGAGTGAGCAAGAGTCTCTGATGGGCTTGAGGAAAACAGCAACAAGTCAGCATGTATTAGGATGAGGGCTTCATTTTGTTAATAATAATAAACACTGGCCCTGGGAACAAAGACCCTCCATTCCCCAGGGGAATGCCCTGTCTGCAGGGGCACCTCCAGGGAGCCCTGCTTCAATTGCTTCCTTCCTCCTTTTCTCTCCTTTTGCAGCCCCCCATGGTCCCTGTAGCTTCCCCCTGACAATCACCAGTACATTTCCCACAAGGTTTTTTTTTTTAATTTTTTTTAAAAGCAGTTCCCCATGATTGTTATTCCGCATCAATTTGCCCCACAGCAAATAGTGGTTAGCTGGGAATTTCTGATTAAATTCATAAGGGTTTTAATCACTCTTATGTTTTATACATCACTTTGAGCAGGTAGGGATGATTTGGATAAAGAGTGAAAGAGCCATCCTTTCTTCTCCTAAATGATCACTGATTGCCCTATCATTTCAGAAACTGTTTAGAAGCCTCGTTTATTATTTGACGCGGGAATGGCAATTGTCTCCCTCTCGTGGCTGAGTGCTCCGTTAAAAGGAACTCACTCCCATATTTCTGAAATGCCCAGAGCAACAATGATCGAGAGCAATTAATCTGTCAACAAGCATTGGCCTCCTGTGTGCCAGGCACTGTCCTAGGTGCTGACGAATGAGGTTGGAGCACTCCAAGAAATTCTGTGGCAGATTTCAGCCATTGTACTCATCTGCATTCAGGAAAGGTTTCAGTGTTTCCATAAAAAGAGCGTTGATGCTATACTCATTCACCAGGCCATGGAGTTAGAGGGAGAGGACCTGAGTTTTAGTGCTGGATCATTCATTCCTCACTTCACACTCTGGACCTTGGTTTTCTCTTCCTTAAAAATGAAAGGTTTGGACTAAGTGACCTCCAAGGTGTCTTGCAGTCCCACAGCTTTGGTCCTATGAGAGGAGAATTCAAAACATGTAAAGGACTGTCCTATTGAAGAGAGGTTTGACGTGTTTCTCTTGGCCCCAAAGGGCAAAACTATGATCAATAGGTGGTGTGCTGGACTTGGAGTCAGGAAGGTTTGAGTTCAAATCCAGCCTCAGTCACTTAACTGTGTAATCCTGGGCAAATCACTTAATTTATCTGCCTTAGTTTCCTCATCTATAAAATGAAGATAGTAATAGGACCTACCTCTGAGGGTGGCTGTGAGGATCAAATGAGATACTATATGTAAAATGTTTTGTAAAACTTCAAGGGATATGTAATGGCTAAATCTTATTATGGTCATTGAGGAGAAATAGAAAACAAGCCCAATTTAGTCTGGATGTCAGGAAAATCTTCCTACCAATGAGGGCTGTCCCAAAGAGGAATGGGATGTGATTAGAAAAGAGTGAGTTCTCCTTCACTGGAGATCTTCCAATGCCTGGCCACCTGTTGGGGAGGCTGTGGGAGGGATTCCTGGTGGAGGATAGATGCGACTGGAGGCCCCAGAGGTCCCTCCTTGCTCTGAGATTTGGGAGCTCAGTTCCCCTCCTCATTCTTGGAGCTTTTCTGTCACTTCACCCGCCTCTTCTGGGAGCTGGTCAGTGGTTATCATATGCCAAATGCTGCAAGCCAATCTGTGCCTGCATTTTCCGCCCCATTACACTCTGTGACTTCATCTACCAAAAGCCATCCCGACATCTCAGCTTCTGCGTGCCATGCAGCAAGAGGACAGCTGTGCTGGCCATCATCATCATCATCATAGGCAGCTAATGGTACTAAAGCAAATTGGAATTGCCTTGTGAAGGCTTGCCCTCATTAGCAATAGGCCACACTCACATGGCTGGGCCAACTCTGGGGCAATGACTTGAGAATTGCCCGAAAGTAGTGATAAGAAGGAAGAAAGGGATATCAACCAAGTGCATTAACATGCCTATGGCCACATAAGTAATAGATGGCTCCAATCAAAATCGAGAAGAGCCCAAGTATGGGAGGATCACCAATCTTTCATTTCCTATTCCCTTACTTATGGGAACATTTGCATACACACACACACACACACACACACACCATGCCACACACATACACACTCACAATACACACACATACAACACACACACACCACACACACACACACACACCACTATAAAGACTTTGACTCCAGACACTTAACGAGTAGTAGAAGTATTAGTGACCCAAAAGCTTCATATAACAGCCTAAAGATATTAAAAATTCTCTATCAGACAAAGACCAGAATTTCGGGAAAGGGAAAGTTCTTCATACTAGTCAACCTATACTCAAAGTCCTTATGGTGATTTTGTATTGTGGTCACCATCCATATGTCTCTGGAATCTGTGATCTTGTTAGAAAGATAGATAAATGGATAGATAGATAGATAGATAGATAGATAGACAGACAGACAGACAGACAGACAGACAGACAGACAGATAGATAGATAGATAGATAGATAGATAGATAGATAGATAGATAGA